AACAACCACAACACCAGCGGAATTGCAGATGCGTTGTCGGCCTTTTAGAAAGGTATAAGCTCTTTTCTTGAAGGTCCCTAAGTCGTATCGGTCCGGAAAAGTCGCCGGTGGTTTACCACACACGATTCCACAGAGAAGTTGTACGAGGAAGAAAACTCCTAGTAAAAAGCACAGTCGAGGACCGCCAAAAATCCAGATGGTGAGGATGGTATCGTGAATTTTGACGCGATGTGCGTTCGTGAAATTTGGCGGCTGGAATTAATCCAAACAATTTCCCAGAGCACTCCCCGTGGTAGATAAGATAGAAATGCAAAGGGATGTAAATAGCGTTGATGATAGCACGCAGCCTTGTGGAACACCAGCGTTAGTAGGCTTGTAATCAGAGCATGCACCATCTGCTACGACCTTGATGCCTGGATTTTCTAGGGAAGCCAATAGGAAGGAAACTTCAAAATAAGCGCTTTTTGCCAGACCCAATCGAAGGCCTTCGCTATGTCCAAACTAACGACCAATGCCTCCCATTGGACTCTACTGCCTCCGCCCATCTATGAGTCAGGTAGACCAGAAGATCACCAGCTGAACGACGTCGACAAAAACGATATTGGCGCTCACTAATCAACTGGTGATCCTCAAGGTACCTCATGAGCTGGCAGTTTATAATAGACTCCATTATTTTGGAGAACAAGGAGGTAATGGCGATAGACCTCTAGTTGGACGGGTCTGAGCGGTCGCCTTTTTTAGGGATCGGGGGACCAAAGCTGTCTTTCATGAATTCGGGACTACGCCTAGGGAAAGTTTTATATTAAAAATGGGGCTCTTCCACTGTAGAATTTGAAAGAAAGAAAGATATTTGTTTCGCCACATAAGCACAACGAAATATTGTACATAGTTATTTTTTTTATTTTTAGCGTTATATTAATAACATATAGTATAGAAGTTGTCGAATGTGACGAAAAGGTCTAACACAGCATTTGGTGTGGCTTACCTCAGCCACTGTTTTTCGGTGTGGCCCGTTTCGTCTCTTTCGAGTAATTCAAGCAGTGGTCGATATAAAAATTAAAAAGGTGAAGTTATAGCCTACATACGTCCCACTGCTGGGCAGAGGCCTCACCTTATTTCTGAGGGGTTTTCGGGCAAGGAAATGTCCGCCGCGCTCCCGGAGTGCCGGAAAAGACACGTTAAAACCGATGCCAACTCCGAAGCACACGTCTTCAGTACAATGGGAGGGACTCCATCAGACCCACTCGACTTATTGACGTCCAGGGAGAAGAGTGCTATGCTATCCGAGCGCTTTGTAAACCGCACATCCGGCATGGAGCACTCATACTGCGGGATGGTCGACGGTGTGTTCCCCCGTCATCTAGAGTCGAGTTGGACGCAAAGAGAGAGCCTAACAGATCGGCTTTCTCCATTGCGGCATGGGCCAGTGAGTCGACCTCTTTGTGCAGAGATAGAAGAGATGGCTGATAGAAGGTCCCTTGGACAGCCTTGGCGAGAGACCAGAATGCACGGGTTCCCGAAGAAAGGTGAACTAGCTTCTCGCCAATACTGCCGACGTGCTCAGACCTTGCCTTGCCAATGACTCTTTTGAAGGACCTGGAGGCGGAATTATACTTCTTTTTAAGAGCACTGGTGTTTACATCCCGAGATGTTGATGCGTCAGCCCAGGCCCTGTAGCACTATTGCTTATAGCGTGATGCTATTTTACAGGAGCGACCAAACCATGGCTGGAATCTGCCTTCGATGGGCACCATAGAGGATGGAATAAAAAGTTCCATACCCTGAAGTACCACATCAGCAACAACGCTGGGATCTTTCGGCGAGAAGCAAACCCAACCAAGGGTAGGACGCAAAAAGAGACCGCATTCTATCCTAATCGGTCGACCTATAGTGCCAAACACAGCGAGAAGTAACCAGCTGCGTAAAACCATATGCCAAAACAAAGTCATAAACAGATCTCCCAGCATGATCGATTGAACATGAATCGAGCCATTCTGCGTGGTGTCTGTGGCCACCCACGTATTGTGGGTTTTGGACGAATGAATGGTTCTCATACATCGCCTCCATGTCCTTATTGGGTTGTGCCAAAGTAGCGTAGTGTAAGTCAGAATGAGTATAATTGTACGCAACCTTTGTTGAAAGTAGACTCTCTAACGATCTTGATCACGTTGTTATATAAATATCCTAATGATTTATCGTACCTTGTTATTGATAAATCCGACACGTCCTTGGGCAGGCCTCCGTCACTCGCTCAAGACCCTGCGTTATGCGTATCGCCCACGATACAACCAATATTGGACTGCCGCACGCCCGCCTGAGCGCTTGCACCGCACACGTTTCCCGCGCTTACTCGTCGATGCCGAAACCACGTAATTATTGTGCAGTGGATGGGTGTCAGAGTCAAAAAACAAATGAAAAAATGTCTTTTTTTCTTAACTATAAGATTACATCGAAACAAAGCATAACAGTGCTGTAATTTATAAATTGAGTGACAACCATTTTCAACGATAAAATTTAATAACCGAGAATTCAATTTGAAGGAAAAAAATGTATAAATCATTTTATAAAACTCAAACATATTTTATTGACAAATAACAAATATGGTAATTTCGCAAGATTCGTTTTATTACAATAATCATCATAGGCACAACCACGAAGCTAATACAAAGGGGAGACGGCATAAGCAACTGTGCACTGTGATTCTAAGTAGGTCCTGACGTCATCATAGTGGGCGTGGCTTTAGTTAGTATACTGTCAGCATTCATCCTGTGCGCTTATGTGTTGAAAAAATCGCAAATCGGTGTATTTTCGTAGTATTAAGAAGAAAAGGATGAAGTGTTGTGTTTTATTGTATAAAAACTACTCAGATAGACGCTCTGATGTTATGGATGGCATCACATTTCATTTGTAAATAATTTTACACCTAATTTATTAAAATAGTTCAAGAAAAATCTCTTTGCGTCGGCTTTCAAATATAATTAAATATATTCGACACTAGATGGCGACACTTTGTGTCATGTGAACTAAAAATATAAAGGTCCGTAGAGCTCAGTATTGGTAAAATAATCATACGAAGGTGCTGAAATTTGTTTTGCATTCAGACATAAAGATATTTTAATCGCAAAATATTATTTTTATAGTTTATAATCATTTTGAGAACAGGCCGTATTCTCGTCAAGTAAACCTCATAAAAATGACAAAAAGACAGGGCCCTAATTAGAATTCAATTATTTTTCCCAGCAATCCAACTTTTAATATTAAATGCAGGAAATTGTACTTATACTGATTTTTACGAAATGTTTAAGTTATATTGAAGTGACATTCTATATGTAAAGAATCACTTAAATACAATTTAATGTTCTTATATTGGCATTCAAAAAGTGCATTCGGATGCCTAATTTGGAATAAAATATTTATATTTTAATTGATTTGTAAATAAAATTATATTAATTATAATAATTTGTCTATTATTTGTTCTCCCTCAGAGATATTAAGTAGTATAACCCACACATAAATAATAGTCCAGCCGTTTCTGCGTGAAAAAATTACACATACTTAGTGTGGAATAAGCTCAAGGAGACAGAAAGAACACACACAATTCCGCCTTTATAATATTAGTGAGATAAGTAGGATATTTAGTTCCAAATTAAATATCCTACTTAATATTGAAGATACAATATTTAGTTTCAAAGAGACTTTATTTTATGGATAAAATAAATATTTCTTGAAGGTTGACTTTCACGAAATGATAAACATATTTAAATTGTAATTAAGTGATTCTTTGCATACAGAATGTCACAAATAAAACTTAAACATTTCGTAAAAATCAGCCAAGTACAATTTCCTTCATTTTAATATTGAATGTTGGGTTACTGGGTAAAATAATTGAATTCTAATTGCAGCCCTGTCTTTTTGTTATTTTTATGAGGTTTACTTGACGATAGATGGCGGCCTGTTCCCAAAATTATTATGAAAACTATAAAAATATTATTTTGGCGATTAAAATTTCTTTGTCTGAATGTATTTGCTTCATGAGATAGATGCTCCGATGCTATGGATGGCATCACATTTCATTTCTAAGTAATTTTACACCTAATTTATTAAAATAGTTCTAGAATAATCTCTTTGCGTCGGCTTTCAAATATAATTAAATATATTCCACACTAGATGGCGACACTTTGTGTCCTGTGAACTAAAAATATAAATAACGTAGAGCTCAGTAATGATAAAATAATCATACGAAGGTGCTGAAATTTGTTTTGCATTCAGACATAAAGAAATTTTAATCGCCAATATATTATTTTTATAGTTTATAACATTTTGTGGACATGCCGCCATCTACCGTCAAGGTAGCTAAGCTACATTGCAACATCGATATGGAAAGATTCGAGTAGTTTTACTATTTATCGGTAGATGTAGATAGTGTAGTGGGCGGGGCTTTGCATCCACTCACCCCGCAAATTGTCACGCGTTGTTACATAGTGAAATTTAATTACAACGTCTCCTCTTTGTATTTGCTTCATGGGTACAACCCTAAAGCATTCGTGCGATGACGCGCTTGCACGTGAGTCGCACGGCAGTCAACACAATCTCGACTCTTTATGCGCGGATTTATGGTACATTTTCCTCTCGCTGCGAACAGTAGATATTATTATTAAGATTTTGTAGCCTATTATAGCGTAGGTATTTTCGCTTTTGTAGGAGTGATGTATCTGTTTAGTAAACTATTAACTAATCTGTGCCTTAGGGCAGATAGCCGTCCTCCCATTGTAAGAATAAGTTGTCGGATTTAAGAATTACTATGTCGTCCCCGTCTCTTCAGACTGCAGATCCAGCGTAACTTTTTTCTTCTTCCAGCTCTAGTCATCAGTCCTCAGGGTGCGTACTTAAAATGTAACCTGCACACTCATTGAGCGGATAATGGGCTTGCCGCTTTTTAAATAGTTTACTTGATTTAGGGAATTTATAATGTATGAAAAGAAATCAAACGCAAATGCATATATAAAATAAAAATGACCTTTAATTCAATTCATGAAGCGTGGTAACAAGGTATGTATATTTTTTAAATTATTATTACTCTGTCGTATAATCGGAGTTACAACATTTTATTACATCATGTGGTTAAACCCTACTAAAACATTAAACTAAACGGTAACTTGTATAAAATGTACATTAATAATAATAGTAGTATAAAATAGTACAATTACTTTACGGACATTATTATTAGATGGGCAGCGTTTGTTGTTGCATTCATCTTTTGTATAAAATTGTCAACTATGTGAATTATTCTAGGCCTGAAAACAAAAGAGTTACTATAATATTTCTTATTTGTGATTCTCTATCAACTAATAAATAATATAATTTCTTTAAATTTTAAAGTGCATAATAATACAAAAAAAAAACAATATCAATAGTTAGCTAAAAATAATCATATTTACTTTTTCAAAGATATCAAGCATTATACCAAGCGTTACAAAAGAATAAATTTACTTCATATTACAAAGCCAGCAACATTTTGTAGTTTGATTACTAAGAAATTGATAGACAAATTGCATAACTGTATAGACCATTATACTAAAATCCATGACAAAAATATAATTTGAAGGCACTTTTTGAGCAGACAGTAACCTTTACAATAATCGACAGTAGATAGTACGTGATTTAATATAACTAAAAGGTGTCGGTAAACTTTGCGTTTGACTTATAAACGAAATCGCTGGTGGTTATAGTCTGGAAGTAGCCGTAATAAATAAACTTTTTTGCAAAAAGAACGACCACCAACCAAGGCAAAGACCAATTTTATTGTTATTATAAAATTGTTTAATATTTTGAGGTAGTCTTTATTTTAATAAATTCTGAATATAAAACTATTAGCAGGGAATAGTTTTCGTCAGATTTATCGTAACATTTTGATTAAATTAATGAGAAATAATGTTAAAGTTCATAGCGATAGTAGTGTAACTGCTCGCAAAAAAAAATTTGCAGGAGTGTTAAATTAGAGCTTGCACTCGTCCAAAATACGCACTCCCACACCGCGGTAATCACATTATTTAGCTTTCCTCATCTTCGCAACACTCGCCGACGTCGGTATTACTTTTTTACTTTTTTATTATATTTTAATTATCTTCAGGAGCAAAACCTTGAGTATTTGCTGAAACATTCTAGCAGGATATGTAATGCAGACGAAAACGCATTCTTTTTATCACCAAAATCTGGTCATGACTTAGTAAGACGGGGTGATAAGAATGTGTAGGTATACCACATCTGGTAATAACAAAGAAAACTTGACTGTTTTACTAACAGCAAATGCTGCTGGTCAAATAGCACCTCCTATGATAGTGTTAGTTCAGAATCAGGGTGGATGTGTAGTAAGACTTTTTATGAGTATTTAACAGGTTCACTGTTCCAGGTTATAGAGTGAAAATAAATATGTATTTGGAAAATATTTTTTTAAAGCATACCACACATATGGTATGTGGACTCTCTAGAACAAAAGTGTTGTCTCATGACTCCACAGAACATATGTGGTCTGTGCGTATTTTTGTCGTTATATTATTTTTTATCTGTATCAAATAAGAAATTACCATAGACAAATTATGAATTACGATGACATAAGTGAAATAAGCAACTTGATTGACAAAATGACGTTTATGACATTGGTAGAAAGTCAAGACAAAACAAACGTGTTGGTATTTTTGTGCTTGTTTGGTTGATTTAAAGTTATTGTGACAAAATGAGTAAGAAAAAATACTATACGGACGAAGAGTTGCGAAGAATATTAGAAGAGAGTGATTACGAACGAAATAGCCAGTCAAATTCGTCGGATGAAGAAGAAAATGATACCGATGGCCGTAGTGATGTGCCTGATTTTGACGATGATGATAGTGTAGCCGATCCCGATTTTATTCCTCATGATTTGTCACCTGACCGTTCAAGTCCACGAGATAATCAGGTAATGAATGAAAATATAAATAAGAAGAGAGAAGCGTCAGTAGCCTAATGGCAGGGCGAGGACCGCGAACTCGAAAGGTCGTGGGTTCGAATCCGTCATTACTGTCGTGAACCACTTCTAACACAAGCATTTCAAGCTTACCAGAAGTGAAAAATAATATAATATAATTATAATAATATAATCGGGGACCTCTTTGAGGAAACCGAGGGTTTTGTCTGTGCGATACAGGATCAGGTTATTAAGACCAACAATTATCGGAAATACATCCTAAATGATGAAGCCGTCGACATCTGTCGAGCTTGTCGCCATCCCGGTCAGTCACTTAGGCATATCATTTCCGGTTGTTCGGCGCTTTCTAACTCTGAGTATTTGCACAGACACAACCTAGTAGCCAGGATTCTACACCAGGAGCTCGCTCTGAAATACGGTCTCGTGGATCGGAAACTGCCATATTATAAGTACTTTCCGGAAGCCGTGTTCGAAAATGACCGCACCATGCTCTACTGGGACCGGGCCATCATCACAGACAGGACTATTCTTGCGAATAAGCCTGATATTGTGTTGATGGACCGGGCACAGTCAAGGATATTTTTGATCGACATTACCATTCCTTATGACGAGAACCTCGTGAAAGCCGAAACAGATAAGCTGACAAATTATCTGGACCTGGCTCACGAGGTGACCGACATGTAGGGTGGTCTGCCGACCGAAATTATTCCTGTGGTCGTTTCTGCGAACGGGTTAATCCCAGTCAGCCTCTCGGGTCATCTGAGGCGACTGGGACTCCGTGACGGACCGCTCCAAGCTCAAATGCAGAAGGCGGTGCTCCTCGATACTGCCCGCATCGTCCGCCGGTTTCTTTCCCTTTCCCCTTAAGCCTCGGCCGTTTGGTCTCCCCTGCCGAGGGCCCCTGCCTTCCATCTGGTTGGGTTTTTATTTATTTATGTATTTTTTATGTATGTATTTAATTTTATTGATATTTATGTATGTTTATCATTTTCATTTACAATTATATATATAAACAACCCAACCAGATGAGAAAACTTTACAGATATCCCAAAATAATAAATATTCAGCATTGGATTGAACAACATATGAATAATGATATTTTTGAAAGTACGGTGACATCTCATCCGTCGACGTCTCGTATGCATGTATCTCCCGACAACTCTAAATCTAATGACACATCACAACAACTCAAAATAACCGCACCACCTGATTCAGATTCTGACGACGACGGAGACATTGAAATGAATGCAGCTCCAAGAACTGGCACTATACCACCTACAGAGCGTCGAATGAAAGAACATGATGAGGAAAATGGATGGAATTACGACATTCAGTCGTTAGTTCCTCAAATTTTTAGTAACTCAGAAAACTTTATACAAACTGAAAACATTCCAGAAATTGCAGATGTGTTTACAATTTTTCGTCTTTTGGTTGATGACAATTTCTTTGACCTTGTGATAGAACAAACCAATCTGTACGCTGAATAACTTATTGCTAATAAGTCTGGAGGCCGTTTGAGCCGCTGGAACCCGGTAAACAAGGAAGAAATGGAAAAGTTTATGGGCATTTACTTGCTGACTGGTATAATCAGATCCCATTTTTTATCATCCTCTATTCCAACAGATACAAATGTCCTACAATCGTTTCGTAGCCATTTTACGCTGCTGGCATTTCGTCGACAATACAATTGAAAGAGATGTCAATAATCGCTTGTATAAAATCCAACCAGTTATAACCAACAAAAACAAAACTCACAAGTATGGACTCAAGATCTACAAAGTCACAACTGATGATGGATATGTTTGGAAATATAAAGTTTATTCTGGCCAAGATCCTCAAATCTCCAATCTTGATAAACCTGGAAGTGTTATTGTCGAGCTTTGTGAAGACCTTTTGGACCAGGGGAAAATGATTATAGCAGATCCGGCGCCGTCTACGTTACAAGCACGGCATTTTCTCAAACAGCTGGATAGAAAAGATGGCAAAATTACTAGATGTAGGTGTGCCGGATGCTGTAATGAGTTTCGTCAAAAAGGGGAAACATCAGCAGTTGCCACTAACAAAGCTAAAAGGATTTCAGAAATATGCAACATCTGTACCAATCCGTATTACAGACCATATGTGGTCGGTAGACTAAACTACACTACCAGTGTGTGGACAGTGAACCGGTTAAAATCTATCTTATAAAATCCAGTTAGTTAGTCTTGTTCTTTTCGGATGGTCTAGGATCACATTTGACGACACATCTTTCAGACTTCTGTGCAAAAAATGGAATAGAATTAATTGCTTTGTATCCAAATAGTACACATATATTGGAGCCAATGAATGTTGGCTCCGATATATGCTGTCTTCCGAAAGTTAAAAGTATTTTGGACATACGACATAGGACTCTATACGGGCTAATTATAAACACTTATGCCATATTGAGCTTCCACCGCAGTTCCGCTCAGAGAAATAGATCTACAATCCGCAGAAACAACAGCCACTCAAACCACGTATTGTGCTAAAAATCCCGGATTTTTTTTAAATGAATTGGCAAAAACACATTTTTGGAGTACTTGAAGTACTCAGTGTTAAAATACCGATAGCTGACAATTGTCCTACTACAATATCTACTATAGAATCACATAATGTCCAACAATACGACCGATGTCGACTTGGAATTGCCTCTAAATAGTGACGGATTCATTGATTTTTCACCACAGACCCGATCAGAAGAAATAGATCAACAATTTGCAGAAAGAACAGCCAGTCAGACCACCTTTTTTGCTACCAATCCTGAATCGGAAATTCTATTAAATGTGTAGCCGCCGTTCTCTGGAGCACTTGAAGAGTTTCCTTTAGAAATGCCGATCGACGACAATTTTCAAATTTCAATCTTTTATTTCATGTTAATTATGCAAAATATACTCACTATTACTAAAGAATAAGATATCATGTGATTCCAAAGTAATGTTTGTGTTGATTTTTATAAGTTTATACAAAAAAAGTTAATAACCTAAGTAAGGAAGAAATATTTTAGTTTTTAATAAGACTGTTACTAGTTTTGACTAAAAATATACTAAATGTTTAATTACTCTTTATTAATTACTCTTTATTAATTACTCGTTAATAAATGTCCGACGATTGTAAGTAAATAAAAGACTGTTTAATTAATTAAATTTTCATTTAATATCAGAATATATTTCCTAATTACATAAAACTCAACTCTCGAGCTACCTCCTAACCACCATGATCGTGAGGGAAAGTTTTCAGCAAACCTAACTACCTTCAGGATTTTTTTATTTATTTTTTACATGATACTTAAGTACCCATGAAAAAGTCATGTGAATTTC